GCTGTATTGTCTCCCTTTATATTGTAAAGCATTGAGCAAATGTTTGGCGCTGTAAAAATCCTGTATAATAATAATAATACCAAATGTGAGTAGTGGTCAACTTCCAGTATATTAGTAGGTGAACCTGTTTATAGCAATAGAGTTTTTATGCAGCACCTGTTATTTTTGGTAACCCTGTCCCTTCTGGTCTGGCATTCTATAGCTAGTTTTAGCTTGGGGCTCAATAACCAGCATATGTTAGAGCCAAGTTAGGCACCCGAAAGCCACTTGGGATCTAATCTATCTACCCTGTAAAAGAAAAGATGCTTATACTTACCTATCCTGAAGCCGCTCTGGTATGGTCACATGACCAGCTTTCAGCACTGGATTCAGCCTGGGTGATGACGTCGCCCCTACGCTTACTATGGGGCAGTCATTGTTGGCTTTCCCTTCCCTACACTGATGTAGCACTACCCTTGTGAGGGCTGCTGTGTAAAATGGGTACCCCTAAGCTTCTCTCAGCACACTGAACGTAATTCTTAAGGAAGCCTCCACCTTCCATGCATTCTGGCATTGGTTCCAACATGGACCAAGACAGCTGGGTCATGCCCAGCCCCTCCCAGTAATTTATCAACCCGGCACCAGGGAGACAGCAGACCATTCGGTTGAGGCAATCCTGGTGACAAATCAGTCCGTCTGATTACAGAATCACCTACTACCACCAGCTGTCTAGGCCTTCCTGCACTACCCTCACCACCCCTCCCAGATGGTCTGCCCTCCCGGCTGTTAGGGATAGCAGTGACATCCAGGGATGCTACCCCTGAGCTTGCCACCCCCACATCTTCACCCAACTTGGCAAATCTGTTTGGGTGCACAAACCCAGGGGCAGCCTTCCTTTTCGGTGAGCCCCTACCACTCCCTCTCCTTACAGTAACCCATCTTCCTACCTGATAATCCTGATTATCCCCTCCATATCAATCCTATTAGCTACCTGCTCAGAGAGCAGAAGACCCCTTTCAAGGTTGTTGGTTCTGCCCAGTGTTGCATCTTGCTCCTCCAGATCTCTAACGCGAGTTTCCAGAAGGGCGACCCACTTGCATCTGTCGCAGCGGTATCCATCCTGGAGCTGTTGCTCCATTCCTGCATACATGTGGCACACTGTGCACGGCACAAAACCTTCCACCCCGCTAGCACTCATATCCCAGTTACAGTATTAACAGGAAAGATCAGTTGTCACTTACAGGTTAGGAGACTCCTGTTTTCAACTCTGGTTTTTAACTCCACTTATCAAATGTCCACTTATGCAGGCCATAGATGGGTTGAAAATCGGCCGATTTTTCTTTTAAAAAAAACGAACAATCGGTCATTCAAGTGGCCGACGTTACCACCAATGGTTAAAAAAAAAAAAAAAAAAAAAAAAAAAAAAAAAAAAAATCGGCCGATTTTCATCCCGTCTAGAGCCAGCAAAAAGTGTCCCTGCAGAGAGCTCCGCTATTTCTTTGACAGTTCCTTGACATTTACAGAGGTTGCAACAATGTATCTATTTGTATCCATTTAGGATACAGATGTTTTTATTCGGAAACAAATAGATACAATGTTGCAACCGCTGTAAATGTCAAGGAACTGTCAAAGAAATAGCGGAGCTCTCTGCAGGGACACTTTTTGCCGGACTGGAATTCCTATTTTTTATCCTTCTTCTTCTCCTTCTTCATCATCATCCTCTTCTTCTTCTTCATCATCATCCTCTTCTTCTTCTTCTACTTCTTCATCATCATCCTCCTCTTCTTTTTCTTCATCATCATCATCCTCTTCTTCATCATCATCCTCTTCTTCATCTTCTTCTTCTTCTTCGTCATCATCATCATCCTCCTTCATCATCATCATCATCCTCTTCTTCATCTTCTTCTACTTCGTTATCATCATCCTCCATCATCATCATCCTCTTCTTCTTCTTCATCCTCTTCTTCTTCTTCCTTCTTCTTCTTCTTCTTTTTGTCTTCCTCTTGCAGGTCACTGCTCATGCGCAGATTTTTTATCGGTAAAAAATCAGCCGATTAGCCCATTATTGCCGTGAAAATCGGCCGATCGGCCGATTTTTTTCCAGCTTTCCCGATAGAAAAAAACGCCCAAAATACCGAAAAACGGCCAAACAAATAGCCCACTAACGATCCGAAAATCGGCCGATTTTATTTTCGGCCGACAAATCGGCCGATTTTCGACCCATCTATGGCCTGCATTAGTCAAAGGTCCAGCAAGCAAAATACAGCTAGCAAATCTTCATGTTTTGTGAAGTCAAGTTTGTGATAGATTTACCTTTAGTCACTGTCAAGAGGCTTCAACGGGCAAATGCAGAGCACATTTCACATCAGGATAAGACACCTCTAAGATCACTCAGATTTAATTGCAGGTACATTTGGATTGCTTCAGGCTGTTCTTGTATTCCCCTACACATACATGAGGAGAGAAGCATCTCTGATGCTGCTGGGGAAGCAGCAGTTAGCCAGGATAATTGTGGTGGATTTGACATCCACCTGGTTGTCATATTGGGATCATCATTACCTGTCTGCGATTTGCAGCATCCTTCTCTCTTTGTATAGTTTTTCCCAGAGTACTAGTCTATTGCTATTTGATATCATGCCACAGAATGCCATGCCATATGCCATCACACATTTAATTGGCACTTTAGATATATAGGTCCATGCAGCCTTGTGTAGCCAACCTTTTAAAATCAATTATAGAATGACAGCTGCATGAATCTTAGTTCATCTTCCCATAGTGTGGGGCTGATGCATGGTACTGGAAACTGACAGACTGGGCCTCCTTGCAGATAAGCACTGGGCACTGGCGTGTACTTGTGTGGATTAGCCCTTAGGAGTATAGGCTTCATCACACATAACCCTACAAGCCTCCAGGCTACAGAACCCATCACAGAACTTCTTAGGATTCTGAGAAAGCAAAAACTCAGCCATAAACCCTGGAGCCTCTCACCATGTGTAGGTAAGAAACATACGTGACACATATACATCGTTCACAATCCATCCAACCAGTGCCTCATATACTCTCCCCCCTCTCCTCAGACATGTGGGAAGGAGCACATTTTACAAGACATGTGACAGTCTATTACAATTCCCTTTTTTGGGGCTCCTGGCTTGTGTTCTGTATAATATTTAAAAGTCTTGCAAAACTAGAAACCATCTTGTGACCCTTGCATTATTTCCTTTGTTCCAATCCTACCACCATGGTGGAGAATTGTCTTTAATCAATCAGAACTTTCTGCACATTCCCTTGTCATGGTGGGCATATCCCTGAAGGGGTCGTCATGGTCTGGGAGCCTTAGACCTGTACAGTTTCCTGCAGTTAACTATGTAAGGGTGTGGAGGCATGAAATACCGATGTGTAATGTTAAACTGTAATGTGCCTGCAATATGCTCTTTGGTCAGTAGATGGCAGCAAAGTACAAGAATCGATTTTGCAGGGACTTTTGCTAAGACAAGATAAATGCTTATTTACCCTATAAAGTTTAATGAATACTAATTTAGGGGGCGAGTAGGACCCTCAGAAGGGTCATAGTGAACTGTAAATACAGGTTTGAGGCTGCAATTAAGAAATGACTTACTGCATCACAAACTCTATGGGAAGGGGAGGAGTTCTGGTGCAGAGGAGGAAGTGACAGGGAGTCTGTGTCTGGCTGGGGTTTTGCTGAGGACGTCTGGAGAATCTGTGTGGGGCCTGGAAAAGGATTTACGGCTCACAGTGGAGTCTGGCGACGGCACCTAGGGAAGATTCACCACGATGAGACCGGGAAACAAGTGACTGTATGATCCGGTTCTGGAGTGGACCAGTGGATCAGGAAAAAGCACCGAGAGCCTGCCAAGGAACTGGAAGTGCGGCTTTTCCGCAGCACATCGCACCACACGTGTTCAGTGACATTTTGGATATACCAGAAAGTTACAAGAGACACACTCCACTTTCCTTTGGATTACAAATAGTATTGCGCAATACTTAGGGTGCACCCCAACGTTATATCTTGCTCAGGAACATTCAGGCGCAGCCAGGCTGCTTTCTGGACATTGGGGAAAAGTCTGCAAGTACAGGGTTAGTGTTAGACAGTATTATTCTTACTGTATGGTTATGCGCTGTTATCATTCTGTTTACGTATGCTCAACTAATTGTTCACTATAACCGGTCAGTAAACGTAATTGTTGTAAAAGAACCGCTGTCTGTGTCTGTGTGGCATCGTGTACCCTCTGAATCTGTGGGCCCAGCCCTCGGCTTTCCTTCAACTACACATGTTGCGCTACATGTCAAGGTGAGCATCTAACACATGATCTGATGCCCAAAGCAAGCATTATAGGCCGCCCCACATATTGGGGTCCAAGTACAGTCCCCAAGGTACATACTGAAGGTAACTGATCCAGAAACTGCTAGATATTCCAGGGCAAAAAGCACTGAGATCTTGATAATGCATCAGAAACACAAAATGAATGGTTTAGAAAGAAAAAATATTCAGAGGAGAACAGGTCAATAAAAAAACACCATCAAAAACTGGAGTCCACAGAGTGCATGGGGTTATATGGGTGCACTCAGGCGGCAAACATAGCAAGTTTTTTGCTTGAGTCTAATCAATTGAAAGTTGTCTGCACATAACCCATGGTTTATAAATACAAGCCTTGTTCTGTACGATTAAGATATACCATATTTTTCGCTCCATAAGACGCACCTAGGTTTTAGAGGCGAAAAACAAGAAAAAAAAATATTCTGAACCAATGGACTGCAGACATAGTACAGGAGATGACCAGAGACTGCGGACACAATACAGGGGATGACCAGAGACTGCGGACACAGTACAGGAGATGACCAGAGACTGCGGACATAGTACAGGAGATGACCAGAGACTGCGGACATAGTACAGGAGATGACCAGAGACTGCAGACATAGTACAGGAGATGACCAGAGACTGCAGACATAGTACAGGAGATGACAGAGACTGCAGACAGTGCAGGGAATGACCAGAGACTGCAGACAGTGCAGGGAATGACCAGAGACTGCAGACAGTGCAGGGAATGACCAGAGACTGCAGACAGTGCAGGGGATGACCAGAGACTGCAGACAGTGCAGGGAATGACCAGAGACTGCTGACCTTTGGGGAGGGAGGGGGAGCGGGTACCTGAATTTGACAGGTACCTGCTCCCACTTCCGCGGAGTTGTCCTTCCCTCTTCTTCCCGGGCCGGCTTCTGTGACAGCCGGGTGCCCACTGCGCATGTGCGAGAAGCGCTGCGCTTTGTGAATGGCCCGGCGCCTTCTGGGACCTGTCATGTGTCCCAGAAGACACCGGATCATTCACAAAGCGCAGCGCATGCGCAGTGGGCATCCGGCTGTCACAGAAGCCAGCGCGGGAAGACTGTGCAGCGCTGGAGCGAGGAACAGGTAAGGCCCTGCAGGAGACAACAGCTGAGCGGCCGGCCCGGTATTCTGACATGGTGGCGGCATAAATACCGGACCGGCCGCTTTATATTCGCTCCATAAGACGCACTGACATTTTCCCCCCTTTTTTGGGGGGAAAAAAGTGCGTCTTATGGAGCGAAAAATACGGTAACTCTTATCTGGTGTGGTGTGTTAGAGCAAAAGGGCATTTAATTCAATGGAAATATACAAAATAGAGTCATAGAATAATAACTTTTGTTTACCAAAGGCATAACATGAGCTATCTTTGGTCCCTTCACAATGAATTTTTTCTCAATGTAGATTCGGCTTGTGGTTCTTGAAGGTTTATCAATCTTCCTAAAACCATTGTTCTCCATCTTTTCCTTTTCAAAATCCTGCAACAGGTCAAAAGAGAAACAAAACAGCAAGTATTGCATGCTATATCCATACCTGGCACGTAAATGAAAATAGTTTCGTTGAGGATGATACTTGAAGTGAATTTTGAAAGGAACCCCATACTGTTTTTGTGTTGGATGAGGTCCCCCTCAAATCCATAGCAGACCCTTATGTAGGCATGAAGTGTGACAAGCCAGGAAAGAATGGAGGGCAGGATCATGTGGCCCTTTCCCTTTATGAAATATGCCAAAGCACAGCTCGGATAATTGGTTGGGAGGTGATGGACATACATTTTGACTTAGCTGGACTGACATGAAGACCCAAAAGGGCAACTAATTCATCTAGTTATGATAAAGATTTGGGAGGGAGATGTGTGGAATGGTGGTTTGTCATCTGTAAATAGTGTGAGCTTGTGATTAACCCTAGCAGTTGCAATTCCTTTGATATCAGTTTGTATGTGTATTGCTTCTGCTAGGGGTTCAAGAGCTAATATGAATAGTATAGGCAAGTCTGTAGCATTCACCTCTGACTATGGAATAAAGGGGATTTAAATCCATAATATTTAAGTTTGGCTTGGGGAGTGCTACAGAGTGCAGTAATCCATTTTGCAAATTGGAGACCAAAGCCTAAATACCAGAGTAATGTATCTTGATAAGGCCAGGGTAAGGTATCAAAACCTTTGGATCTGTCCAATGAAAGTAACAACACCTGTTGCAAACAGGAACATGCTATATGGTTAGATTGGAGATGATCAGATGGTTCGCTCCAAAACTGGTCCATTTGGACATTCAAACTCTCATACTCTTGCATGTTTGGCCCACTGATCAGCAGATGTTGAAAATCAGATATAGAAACAATAGTTCTACTGCTTCTATATATACGACAGTATCCAGTTATCACTGGTTGCTAAGCAAGCAGAGGGTGCTTGCATCAGTTGGATCCTTAAGAATCACTGACGTCACTGGGAATCCCTGGCCACCAAAGGGACAAGGACAGCAGTGACATCACTGCCTAAATATAGCCAAGGCCATATTTGGTCAATGATGTCACCCTTATCCCCACCCCTTCCCATATACAGCTGATGATAGGTTGGGGAGCTGTCATTTGTCTATGAGTACTGTTGGGATCGGTCATTTGCGGTGGGTCATCTAGGGAGGTTTTTTTGGTATGTCAGCGGGCATTATGATTGATGATGGATTTACAATGAGGGACATTTTTTGGGTCTCTTTATTTTTTAATTATGGAGATTTAAAAATGTTTGAGTGTCTTTAGTTCTAGGTGACATCTTTTCTATGTACCCCATACTTATTCGTGTGGGGGGGCGGTACCTGGAAGCCACCTTATAAAGATATAAAAGGTGGCCCTCTTAGTCTGAGCATGCAGCCTGGCTCACCACCTCCCCCATTCCTGGTCAGACAGGCTGCATTGCTGAGATTAAGGTTCTAGTATGGGTTTTTAGGTGGACCACACACATTTGTTCTTGATTTTTGTGTGGAATCCTTCTTAAAATTTGAACCAGATTCAAAGGGTCTAGTATGTATTTTGTGGGGGTCTATGCAACTTTTCTCATTCTTGCTCAAGGATGTGCAAAAGTGGCGTTTACAAAGAAATGGGGTTTAAAAAAAGAAGCCACGAGGGAGATGTAATTTTCCAGAAATGTAAAACTTTTTTTTCTTTCATAAATGTTGGTGCTTAAAAAAAAAAAAAACACTATTCCTGGTCTTGGTCTTGTTCTGGTCTTGAAATTTAACCGTTTCAAGACCTTACTTTTTTACCACCTTCCTACCAAGGACATTTTTCAGTTTTCAGAGCTGTCACACTTTGAATGGCAATTAGTTACATTGTACCCAAACTAATTTTATATACAGTTTTTTACACAGATTGAGCTTTTTTTATGGTATTTAATCACCACTGTTTTTTTTTTTTTTTCTATATAAAGGAAACAAGTTTCTGTTGTAAAATTTTGCAAATAAATACTCTTTCTTCAAATATTTGGGCCAGAATGTATTCTGCTACATTTCTTTAGTGAAAAAAAAACCACACCAGTGTATATTATTTAGTCTGTGTGTAGATTATAAAGTCTACAAATTGCGGGATATATATTTGAAAATTAATCGATCCTGATGTACTGACTGCCTAGTTCATTTTCCGAGGCCCTAAAATGCCAGAACAATACACATACCCCCCAAATTACCTCTTTTTAGAAAGTGGACATTCCAATGCATTTAGGAAAGAGGCTTGTTTTTTCTTGAAAATTAAGAAATTATTTTTTTTCCCCCAAACTTGTAATGTTTCTCACACACAGCATAGACATACTTACAGAACTCCCCAAAGCACATTCTGCTGCTACTCCTCCTGAATATGGGGATATCAAATGTGTAAGACTTTTTCACAATCTAGCCACATAGAGATGCCCAAAATCCAAGGAGCACCTTAAGGCATTCTAGGGAAAATAATTACACAATAGTTTCCTGACAACCTATCACATCTTTTTGGGGGCCCTAGAGCACCAGGACAGTGGGAACACCAACAAAATGACCATATTTTTAAAAAAAAAAAACACCCCAAGGTATTCTCTAAGAGGCATGGTGAATCTAATGAAGACTTAATTTTTTGCCACAGGTTTTTGGAAAATTTGGAAATAAAATTATTATTTTTTTTTTTTTTTTACACAGAGCTGTCAGTTTAATAAGATATTTCTCATACACAGCATAGATATACTTAGAATTACACATTCTGCTACTCCTCCCAAGTATGGGGATAGCAAATGTGTGGTTTTTTTTTTATTGTCATGGGCACCTCAGTATGAGTGGTCAGGGAAAAAAGCTTAGTGTAGTGTCACCTATAGCAGTTCATGTTCCTATAAGACAAGCAAGCCTAGCTTACTGGTACATTGCTGCCCCCAGGAATGCTATGTTCAGTGGCCAGGAAGTACAGAAGGCTGAAGAAGGGAAGAACAAAAGACTTCCTGTGGTTCCAGTAGTACCTATGTCCACAGTGGATGGCTTGGACTGGTGTCTTCTAGGAATGTAGTCAGTTGTATGTACAGATGGGTCTGTTCAGGTGGCAGGCAGAGGCATGGTCAGCAAACTGGCCAGATTCAGTATAGGTGGCAGTGGTTAAGAAAACTGATTTTGTCTGCACTTGTGTGGTGACACTGAGGACTAGTGTGTCAGCAATCAGGAACACTGTTTCTGACTTACACTGGTCTGATGACACTGGGACTGGTGTGGTAGTGATCAGGAAAGCTGACTGCCCTGGTCTGGTATTAATCAGGAACAGTGATTCTAGCTACACTAATCTTGTAACACTGACTGGTGTGGTGATTGGAGGCACTGTGACTGGTGTGGTGATTGGAGGCACTGTGACTGGTGTGGTGATTGGAGGCACTGTGACTGGTGTGGTGATTGGAGGCACTGTGACTGGTGTGGTGATTGGAGGCACTGTGACTGGTGTGGTGATTGGAGGCACTGTGACTGGTGTGGTGATTGGAGGCACTGTGACTGGTGTGGTGATTGGAGGCACTGTGACTGGCTTCACTATTAGGGCTCGTCTACACATGAGGTTGCGAATGGTAAAAGCTTGTGGCTGAGCCCCTCAACCACTATCCTCCTTAGCTACAGAGGCAGTGACTGGAGGTGTACACATGGTGATCAGGAAATTGTTGGTGGCTGACACTAGTACTTGAACACTGCACTGGATCGACTGGTAATTAGGACACTGGCGCTTGCTGACACTGGTACTAAATGGCACTGTACATATGCCCTTCGGATAGCAGGACACTGGTGCAGGCTGTATTGGTATAGAACACTGTACCGGTGCTAGCTGGCACTCAGGACACTGTTGCTGGCTCTCACTGGTACTAGATGACACTGTGCTGGTGCTGGCTGGCAATTAGGGCTCTGATCACGGCACTGGTTGTGCCCTACACTGGTATTAGAACATTGTACTGATTCTAGCAGGTGATGTAGACACCTGGTTGTACTGCTGCTCGCCAAAACTGGCTCTACAAGAACACTGTACTGCTGCTCGCTGTAATCAGGACACTGGCTCTAGCTGAACTGGTATAGAACACTGCACTGCTGTTTGCTGTAATCAGGACACTGGCTATAGCTGAACTGGTATAGAACACTGCACTGCTGTTCGCTGTAATCAGGACACTGGCTATAGCTGAACTGGTATAGAACACTGCACTGCTGTTCGCTGTAATCAGGACACTGGCTATAGCTGAACTGGTATAGAACACTGTACTGCTGCTCGCTGTAATCAGGACACTGGCTCGCTGTAATCAGGACACTGGCTCTGGCACTGCTGTTCGCTGTAATCAGGACACTGGCTCTAGCTGAACTGGTATAGAACACTGTACTGCTGTTCGCTGTAATCAGGACACTGGCTCTAGCTGAACTGGTATAGAACACTGCACTGCTGTTCGCTGTAATCAGGACACTGGCTCTAGGAACTGGTATAAAACACTGTAGCTGCTCGCTGTAATCAGGACACTGGCTCTAGTATAAAACACTGTACTGCTGCTCGCTGTAATCAGGACACTGGCTCTAGCTGAACTGGTATAGAACACTGT